GCAGCTCGCTGTCCTCGCCCGTGTCCCCCAACCCCGGAGGCTTCTAGTGCCTGCGGCGGCGTCCCAGCCGGGCTGGGGCCTCTCCGCGGGGGGCTCTTCGTGTTCGCGCGGCGAAAAAGGAAAGGGCCGGCTGAGTAAAGTGTGGTCAACATGCGGGGGCTGGGGGTGGCAGAGACTTCCAGATCTCTTATTCAGGGGGCAAGGGCAAGAATATCCCCAGGAGCAGGTGCCCACTTTTTCCCCCCCTGCTCGGTTTACTTCAGCCCTCAAAGGACAGAAGGAGGCCAGCCTCCTTGCCTTCCCTCTGGCATCAAGGCCTCTTCTGGGGAGGCCGTCCAGGACCCCTGTCCACTAGGGGCAAGCTAAATTTCTAAATCCCCACCCCCTACCCCATTAATTCAACCAAACAATGGGACTCACATTGGCCTCAAACTTGCAGGCTCCCTTCAGCTTCTTTTAGAAAATTCCCAAGCCAGCCCCCTCCCTCTTAGGTAGTTCAGTCGGGGTCCTGCTTTTTAGCGTCACCTGCCACTGCCAAAGCAAGAGGAAACCAGACCTCATGACTGACCTTTCAGCACAACCAGGAAGATGCTGAATGTCCTGCTGGTTTCTCTTTTCCAGAATAGGCTGCTTTGTTCTGCCTCTCCCACTGGGATAATAAAGGTCTTCACTTTTGGCCTCTCTGTCTTGCAGAAAGGGAGACTGAGGCAGTGGGATGTCCAGTTGGGCAAGAGGATATGGGAGCAGGTGAATTCTCCACATGGAACACCTGCCAGAGAAGTAGCAGCCAGATTCTGCCAACATGACATGCTTCACTAGGTCTGTTAGACTTGAGGATTACATTTGTACAACTTGCTAAATGTAGTTAATGTTATGCTGGCAAAACAGGGTGCTTGTGAGGGTGGGGTGGGGTGTTGGAGTTGTGAAAATTCAGCCTGGCCAGTTTATGCATTGTCCCAGACTAGAGAATGGTTAAATCAAGAATCAGGTTGAGTATGTTGAGTGAACATCTTTGGACATCATAAAGACCAAAAGATTCATCGCTGCTTTGGTGGACCTCAAGGAAATTGTGTATTTCCAACCCCATTAATAGTTTTACAAAAATACAATAAAACAATCATGAAAACATAACTTTTAAAAATCATATGCAATCCTAACACCCACACATCTACCATTAAAACACTAACACATTAAAAGGGTTGGGTATGTTTTTAGCTAATTCCTAAACAGTAATGAGGAGGGGGCTCCAGTTGCAATTTGTTTCTTAATGGAGGCTTCACCATGGAAAAACAGAATTAACTTGTTGAATGAATGTGTAGCAGGATCCACAACAGATGTGTCGCTGATCATCCAAGAGTTGGGATTAGGTGGTCCTGAAAGTAGCTTAGAATCATGGAATTAAGTATTGGATGGACCTTGGTGATCATCTTGCCTTACCTCTACCCAGTGCAGAAATCCACAATATTGTTATCCCTGAGCAAGGGTCATCTAGACCTATGTATTGTCAAAGGCCATCTAGATCCCTTTTAAATACCTCCAGCAAAGAAGAGTCCATGGTCTCCTGAGGCAGCCTGTCCTGGTGGGCACCAAGGAAGAGGTACATGAGCTCAGTGGGAGACCTTGCCAGACCTGCTCATCTTCATGGTGTCCTAAAACAACTGCTGTTGTCATATGCACAACACAATCTTTTATTTCTATTCTGCTTGGAGAACAATGTTCAATGACTAGAAGCTCCCATGCATCATTATATGCACTATTCAGAATTTCATGGAGACATGTGTATATCTTAGCATGGTTTTAGCAAGGCATACAAACATGGCCACAAACAAGCATATCCCTGGTTTAGGCATCTTGATACTGTGGAGCTGTACAAAGAGGAAGTATCTCAGAAGAACCACCAGTGGTCATGAGGGCACTCCTGAGAATTGTAAGGCAGCCATACCAAAATTGGGGGGTCATGGGGCTCCACTTGATGTTGGCTAAAGATCCTTATCTTGATAGGATAGGTACAGTAAGCAAGATAAATGGGCATCAAAGTGAGGTGTGACCTCTTAGCCCTTGGTCTATTTGAAAAGATGTGCTGTGTATCTGTGCTGCTGCACTGGTGGTGGTGGTGGTGGTGGTAGACACCTCCCACTTCCTACCACTGACCCAGATTGTGACTTCTTTAAATAGGCTTGAAGAATGTTGGAGAGATGATGTGAACTTGTTGTTTTGATGGGAAAATGTGGGTACTACTCCAGTGACTTTAATTAGGTCATGAATCACCATGGTAACATCCAGGAATTGTCTAGAAACCAGGAAGGTTGCTGGGACTGGAAGCTCGTAAGCGGGAGGATCGGAAGGACCATGATCACAGAAGGCCTGGAAAGGAGAGGACTTCTCTGGACCCACCAGTTCTCCCAACACACTCCTGCGGGGAGAGAACAAGCGAAAGAGAGCCAGAACTGGCCAGCTGCTTTCAGATTTCCTAACTCTGGCACTCCAGGCTTGCAGTGTGAAATAATGTTTTTTTTTAAAAAACCCAGTTTCTCTCCTCCTAATTCTCATAGCTAAGCAGAGATATACTCCTGATGATGTTTTAAAAGTTGAATATTTAGTAAACTATGATACAGAAAACAGTAAAGGAAAGAACTCTGGAAAAATGCTATGTATAAATAAATGAAATTCATTAAATGCATAAACAAACAAGTATACAGTGTGCTCTGATATACACAAATGAACAATATGATTAGCAGATGAATAAGCAATATGATAAAAATATCAGTCAATGATTACAGAACAAATCTTTAATATGTCTATGTTAGAACGGCCAACCATTTTTTTTGGTTAATGTTTTCTACTTCATTAAAAGACAAGAAAATAGAAGGCTTGAAAATATATACCATGAATAAATCAACTTCAGAAACTTGACTAGAATAGCCAAGAATCCACTCCCATGTCCTTCTGTCCCAGAAATAACTAAATGAAACAGGCAAGCCCCTGGAGCAAATTGGGTACACACATACCCCAACCCCAAAGACATTGCAGCTTTCAGGCTATGTCCATGCACTAGAGAGGCCTATTCGGCCTCTGCAGCCATCCTGCCCTGCCCTGCGCAAAAGGGGGACCGAAACTCGCCCCTGCCTGCCTCTGTTCCCGAGACTGCGTGGCTCTTGGAGAAATGCAATGGCGCGGGATAGGAAAGGAGTGAGAGAAATGCACCCCTCATTCCCATATCTAGCTGTGCAACAAATGTATTAAAAGGTTAGTGAGACTGCAAGAAATGACAGCTGGAATCAAAATTGGAGGCCAAATCACTCACAATATGCTATATGGAGACCACTCTTTTAGCTGAACTTAAAGAAGACTTAGGATCACACATGGGGAAAATGGCAAGTGAAATATTAAATGTTAAGAAGGCAAAGGAAATATTAACCTGCATGGCTGGTGAACATACAGGCAAAAGGTGATGGTAGAGGACTTTTGTTTTGGGAGGCTAAAGAATAGATGCAGATGAAGAAGTAACCAGATCGCTCTTAAAGAGGAAGGCAATGACAGGTTTGGTCATGAAGGATATTTCAACTATGACAATGATCAGAATAGTTTAAACAATGGCCTGTCCAGTGAATACATATGGCTCTGAAAAGTGGACACTTTTTTTCTCAGATAAGAGCATTTCACCAGATTTATGGCAGAAAATGTTTGAAGAATTTGTCAGAAAGATGACTGCAACAGTTAAAAAGGAAATGGAAGAAGGATTTGCAGGAATAAAAAAAGACGTCAAAGAAGAAGTTAAGAAGATTGAAGAATCTCTAGGGCAACTGGCTGCAGACTTAAAACAAACTACTGACAAAATGGAAGTTTTGGAAAGTAAGACAGAAATAATAAATAGAGAGATGGAGAAAGATTTGGATAACTTGGCATTATTGGAACTGAGAGAAAAAGAATTTTGTTTAAGATTTAGATTCCAGAACAACATGGAGAAGATAATAGACAAAAGATTAAGTCTCTGTCTAATTTTTTGGATTGGGAAGACGATGACACTGAGACAGAGATTGATAAGGTTTATAGGATTTGCAAAATTAAGAAATGTTCCAAGGGATGTCCTTGTGGACTTTGCCGGAAGAAGACTAGAGATCAAGTTTTGCAGCAGCTTTCCAGTACTAGATTGAGGATTGATAATACAGACGTTACTGTACTTGAGGAAATTTCAGTTAGAATACTATGTTTGAGAAAAGAGGGGCTTTTTTCTGACAAACTTAAAAGAAGATTCCATTTAGATGGGATAAGTTGGAAGGGGTGATTTTTACTTTTAAACAGC